AATAAAAAAGCTTTAAGAAATATGCTATTTATCCGACTCGAGCTTTAAGCTATCGATAGCACGAGATTATAATAAATCCTTGCAAGCAGCTAAATAAAAAAGCGTCTTTTTAACGGTATAAATTAAGGAATATCGAGCTATTTATAAGTTAGCGAAGATAAATAACCTTTACGAGACGACGAATATACTCGTAATAAAAGCATTTTTAAAAGCTATTAGCGAAAAATAATCATTAACTTAAGCGTCGTTAAAGCTCGCAAAAGTCATTCGAAACGACGAGCTATTATTGCTTCAAAAGCGCACCTTTTACAATTACTTTAATTAATACGAAAGCTAAGTCGAAGAGAAAATTAGCAATCCGAACTCTAACCTCTTTAATATATTCGCTACTTTCGAAGATCAAACGACTCGCAGCACTTTCGAAAGTGACAAAGCTAACGATATTACTTTTAAGCAATCCGGTAAACGCTCCGATAGCTTTAAAAGACTTGCTAAAGGTTTTAAATGCTCGTGCTTTAAAAAGAGAAACTACTATTAAAACGCAATTAAGTGCAAGATCTTTCGCTATTGCTTTAACGGTCTTAACGAAAGTAGATTCGCAAAGCCGAACCGAAATAATATCGTTATTATAAAGAAAAGGCTTTAAAAGCTTAAGTTTAAAGCGCTTTAAAAAGAGATTACGAAAAAAAGTTAAGCATAAATTTAAATCGATAAGATCGTCTTAAAAAGCAAAGAAAAGCAATCGAACGATAGCGATAAATCAAAATACTTTAAAAAAGTATTAACAATTATCATCGATCTTAAGCTCTTTAGCACGCTCGATAATCTTATCTTTAACGGTCTTTATAGCACGGCTAACAATAAGCATTAGCTATTTAATAGCACTTTTCTCGATAATTGCGGCGCTACTTATTTTATTAACGATAAAAATCTCTTAATGCTAAAATCAATTTAACGCTTTCGCTTAATCGACTTTATCGAAGCTAAAACGAATAGTCTTTTAGTCGTCGAGCGAAGAACTAGAGTCTTTAAAAGAGCTTTAAACGGACCAAATAGAACTAAAACGAAAGATTTAAAGTTAAAAAACGTCGCTATCGTTAAAAAGTTTAATATCAATATCATTTCGAAAGCTTTTTTAAGCAAGGCTAGCGTATAATACTCGAAATATAACGCAACTCTCCGCTATAAAAAGGTTAAAGAGAGCGTCGTATTAAAAAAGTTGAAAAGAAAGTTTAATTTTACGTTTTTTAAATATAAGTTATTCAATTATTCTTTGCTTTAATTGATTCGTAGCTTTTTTTGCTTAATAATATTCTTTACAACTTAAAAGCGCTTGCAAATACGCTATAAATTCTAAAAGAGCAATGTCTTTCGAGCTTTAAAAGAGGATTTATTAATACTTTAGCATTTACGGACAAATCATTTAAGCAAAGAAGCCTTCGAAGCGCTGACTTATAACGCTAAAAAGATAAGACTTAAAGGAATTATTAAAGTTAAATATAAAGCATATGCTATTACGCACGCTTAACAAATCATATTTCGCCGCACGTTAAATAATAAAGTAGTTAAGTTATTTTATAAGATCGCTTAAGATCTATTCGATTTTTTTAACGATTTCGAAAAAAGCAAATAGTTATTAATAATTAAAAATAAATACAATAGAAAGCTATTCGGCTTTATATTAAAGGACAAGTTACAATTAACGGTTATAAAAGTGCTAAAGGAATTTAAAGCATAAACGAGACGCAAATATAGTCTTTTAATAACGGTTATGCGCTATAATAACGATTCTTCGATAATCGCAATTAACGTAATCGGCTTTACCGAATATTAAAGATAAGCGAAAGAAATTAAAATCGAGTTAAAGCTTTTATTATCTTTTAATTACGAACTTAATAAAGGAGTTAAAAAAGCTAAAAGAGAAGTAATAAAACGGTCTATTAAAATAAAAGTAAAAGCAAAGCTTTTAAAAAAGCTTTAGCCTAAAACTATACTAGCCGCTATCTACTTTTATAATATAATACCGAAAGCGAAAAGCTTTATAAAGAGTCCGAATAAAGTGCTATAGCTTTAATTCAAGTAATATTTTAAGTAATACGATCCGGCGATTCTTATACGGATCGACACCGATTTAAAACCAGATTATAGCGGTTTAATTGCGTATAGCGCTCGTGCGTACTTAATAATTAAAGACCGAAAAGCTTTTCGTAATAAAAAAGCTTTTAAAATCAAACCGAAAGGATATATAAGCTACTTAATTAAATATATAGCTTTTAATATATATAAGATCTATGTTTTTATGCTTTATAAAGTGATTATCACACGCAACGTAACGTTCGATAAGACTTAATTTTATTTTAAAGACGAAAAAAAATCGATCGGCTAATCGATTAGCGAGATTAAAAGCATCGTTATTAAACTAAAAGATATTAAAGACTTTAATCAAACAAAAGACGCTTTGTTTAATATAAAAAACGTTGCAAAAGATCGCTTAAAAAAAACGAATGCAATTAATATAAAAAGTAAGCAGCCGTTAGACCTTATAAAAATTGATTTAAAAGAATTTAATTAAAGCTTAAAGGATGCGACTTTATTTAATTCGAGCGATATATAAACGTTAAAAGCTTTAACTTTAATTAAAGACTTTATAGATACGTTTATATTAAAAGCAACTGCTTTACGAAACGATTTAATAAATTTTAACAATTCGAATTATACCGCTGACCGTCTCGCTAGCTCTTTAGCTAAAAGCAAGGGCGAAAGTGCTTTAAGACTGCTAAAAGCAAAAAGGAACATCGTAAACGAGCAAAAACTTGGCTTTAATAAAAGAGCGCGCAAATTATACCTTTAAGTTGTTATTTAAAGCCGGGGCTCGAAAAGCTAAGCTATAAGCCGACTAACGGGAGCTTTTACGTCAATAACCGGCGAAGATTCAAACCGAACAATTAAAAAAAAGCTTTTAAACCTTTTTAAAGCGAGCATTAATAATAAGAAATTAAATTATAAACACTTTAAATAAAATTCCGACTTTAATAAAAAGCACTTACTTATTAATAGCCGCATTAGAAAACGCGCGAGAATATACGCAAGTATCAATGAGCTTCTTTTAAACAACTCTTTCGCCGATTCGAATCGCTATTCGCGCGTTTTAGATTTTATATCGACTTTTTAAGCTAATAGCGATCTCGTGCGCGAAAATAACAAAGATTACAAAATATTGCACGCTATTATAGCAACCGCTACTTCGTTTAAGTTATTATTAGAATAGCTTAACTCGCAAGAACGAAAACATTTAAAACCTCTTACTTATTAAAAAGAGTTATAACGACACTTATACAGCAAAGAGTTTAAGGACGGAGCTCTTATAAAGCTGAATAATTTAAAAAAGAAGAACTGCTAAAAAGTGATTTTCGAAAGCAAAGCTAAATCAAAACTTATACCTTTTAAATAAGTGTTTATATATAAAACTAGCTCGTTTAAAAAAATCGTAAAGTTTAGATCGAAGATTATAATTAAAAGCGACTTTTAAAACGAATCTATTATCTATTCAACTTACGCTGCTACGCTAGCAGCTAAATCGTTTAAGATAATAATAGCTATAATAATTGAATTTGATTTAAAAGTAAAACAATTCGACGTCGTTAACGCTTTTATTAACGTTATAAAACACACGGATAGCGTTTTAATCACGTATTATCTTTTTAACGGTTTTAAGCAAAAAAGTATGCTCGTAAAAGTCGATAAAGCTTTATATAAACTTAAAGACTCGCTAGCTTTATAGTATTTCGACTTTATAAGCACATTCGATAAATTAAAGCTTATCTTACTTAATAAAAAACCGTGTATTTTTACGAATTTAAATAAAACGATCTTTATAACGTTTTACGTAAACGATATTCAAGTTATATACTATCACTTTAATCTTTTTAAAGCGCAAGAGATTATTAACGGTCTTAATAAAGCGTACGAGATTAAAGCGATAAAAGATATTAAATAGTTTCTTAATATAAAAGTCGCTTGAGACCGTTAGCGAAAAACGTTAACGCTTATATACGACGCTTATATTAAAAAAATAATTAAGAAATTCGAACTTACGAACGGACGCTGCTTAGCAATTCTATTACCGTTCTATAACTTAATTAAAAATAAAAAAATAGCTTCGCGGAAGCAAATAAAGAAATATTAAAAGAAAGTTAAATCCGTACTATATATAGCGATCATGCTACGCTTAGATATAGCTTTTGCAGCCTTTTAACTCTTTTACTTTAATACTAATTTAAGCGCGAAGCACTTTTAAGTTGTAAATTAATATTTGCGATATCTATTTAACTCGCGCTTTAAAAGTATTTAATACAGCTAATTTAGCAAATCAAAGCTAATAATAACTTTTAACGCTTTTTACGCCGATAACGAAAAGATAAAGCGATCTTTTTAAAAGTATATTATATTTTTATTTAAAAATGCGATCTTTTAAAAAGCTTTAAAGCAAGATATAATCATTATATCATCTATTAAAGCGGAGCTTCTTAGCATAGCTTTTATAATAAAAAAAACTATAGCGCTTTAACGGTTTTTTAAAGAACTGCACTTTCGTTTTGCGGCGCTTTAAGTAGTCTATTATAATAATTAATAAACAATAAAGCTTATAACTAATAAAAAAGAGCGTATCTTTATTAAGCTTCGTTACGTCGATATTTATAATATATAGCTGCGCTAAAAGCACTTTAAAAAAAGCTTTTAAATTCAATATCTTTTTATTAAAAAGATACACGTTAACGATCTTATTAAGAACTTGACTCGATAGAAGTTTAAAAGCTTTATTAAGCTCTTGAATTTATAAGACGCTCGCGCGTTAATCGAAAAGCTTTAATAGCACGCATATGCTATTTACTTATTATATTTTATTTTTTTTTATTTGCACGTAATTTAAAAGAAAATATTTATTTAGCAATCATAACCGTCATTTTATTTTATTTTATACGCTTTTACTTTTCGTCTTTTCATAATAAAAGATCGACTAAAGCTCTTAGCAATCTCTTTACTTTAGCCCGGCGCTTCGCAAAAATTATAGCAACGGCGAGCGCCGCCGCGAAAGCGGCAAGCGCAACGATTAGCGCAAAAGGGACGACGATAATAAATGCAACGAAAGCGACGGAAGCTACGAAAGCGACGAGAGCAGCGAAAGCGACGAAAGCAACAAAAGCGGCAAGCGTAAGAGCTGCTATAATAGCAGATTAAAGCCTTTATATAAAGTCCGAGAAAAAGTTCTAATTAAAAAGAGCTACTTAAATTAGATTATTTCGGAAGTCAAGAAGCTTAACTTACGAAAAAGTAATATGCTCGAAGCGCTCCGAGTCACCGGATTACGGTTCGCTGCTATAAAACCATTCAATCTAACAAAAGCTACATTTAAATTAAAAGTCTTAAAAGCAAAAGCAAAACTTGCAAAGCTACCGGGACTACTTTTAAAACTTTTACTTCCACTCGCTAAACCGCTCGGACCACTAGCAGCACTTCTTAAAAAGGCAGCATTTAAAGCGAGCTATTATCGCATAGCATTTCGAAGACTTTAACGAACTTTTTATATAGCACTATTATCTTTAACGCTTACGAAGTTATCGAAAGCGGTATTAGCAGCGGCAAAAGCAGCGGTGCAATTGCTATAGCTACTTTTAGCACACCGAAAATAGCGAATAACGCTCGTATCGCAATTATAATAGTCTTTATTAAACTTCGATATAATCTTACTATTAATACACTTGATGCACTTTAAAGCTTTAACGGTCGTTAGCATAAGCAAGCGCTTAATAAAAAAGTCTAAAAGAAAAAGCGAAGCTTCGAAAGTAAAAGTGCGTAATATAGCCGCCGCAGCTATTGCAATTGCAATAGCAGTAATAACTAAAGCAAAAAAGGGATTCTTTTAATAATTAGCATAAATATATTAATCTATCAAAAGCACTTATTTTTAAACGGCTTCGGCCGCGCTTAACGATTCTATTAAACTAAATTACTTGCTTAAAAAGCATTATATAAATAAATAAAGATTAAGTGTTTATTATAATAAAAAAAAACGCGCTCTTATTTATATAATAACGCGATAAAGACGGCGTTAAAAACTTCCGTTACGTAATAAGACCGACTTAAAAAAGAATTGCATTTTTAACTAACACTTAATCAATAATAATAACCGCTATTTATTTATTTAAACTGCGATAACAATCTTTTTTATTTACATCGAATTTAAAAAGCTTAATCACTTATTTTTTTTTCTTTTTTATTTGCTTGCAGCTTAACAGCTACGCTATTAACTTAAAAAGTGTATTATGCGAAACAAGCATAGTTCTACTTAAGCTATATATAACATATCAAGTGACTTCGCTTAATAGCGTTCTTAGCACACTAAAGCTCTTAGGTACATGTATATAAATCTTGACGAGCTTCTTAAATAAAATATACCAAGCTTCATTCAATCCACAAAATCTCTTCTTGATCTTAGCGCTAGTAAGCACTACAATAAGCTATTAAGCTATTATATTTTAATAATTCTCGATGTTAAAGAAAACGTAAAAGTCTTTTAAAGTAAGCTTATTTTTATAAACGCTTTAATTGTTAGACGTTTAAGTTAAAATAAAAAAAGCAAGCTAGACTTTTTAACGACGCAAATTCGTAAATAATTTATCGCTCGCAATTGCTTCGAAGTAGCGATAAAGACTTTAAAAGTTTTTATTAATATCGACGATATAATTAAAAGCAGATCTTTTTTCGATAACGGATTTAAAATTAACGTAATAAATAAAAAGGTAGTTAAGATAGTTAAACTACTTATTATAACGGATCGAGCTTTAATTTATATTACCGTGTCCGAAGATCTTTACAACTTCGATAAGTAGATAAACGACGTCGAAGTTATTATCGGCGGAATTATTAATTACGCCGATTTTTTTATTATTAATAATAATAATCACGAAGTTATCTTAAGTATGCTTTTCTTTTTAAAATCTTAACTCTTTTTTTTTTATTTCGATAATAATACGATAAAAGCTTTTTTTTAAAACTACGATCGATCTACTTAAAGATAGATTATTATTATAAAAGATAAATCGGATTTAATCGAAGACTCGAGAAACTAGTAGCTAGCATATAAGCTAAAATAGATGCTAAGTTAAAAAGAAGCTTAAAAAGAAATTCCGTCCGTGAATTATAGTTTACGAATAAATTAGCATAAAAATAATAAAATTATAAAAAAACAATTTAACTTAATATTAAGCAAAGCTTATTAAAATCAAAAACATTAAAAATATTTATAATTAAACTCGATAAATCGAAAAATTTTATATTTATTATCGATAATAACAAAGACTTTTTAAGAAAGAATATAATAAAAGTTAATACGATATACAAAAAGAAAGCGGAGAAAGTTAGACCGATAGATTTAAGAATATCGAATAAAAAGATACTTAAAAGAATCGACGATTAATTTAAATAAAATAAGAAAGCGAGACTTTTTAAACTTAAAAGATTCTTTTCGAAATACTTTATTAACAAGTTTTTAAACTTAAAAGTTAAATTAAGATTAACGAAAGAACGATTCGAAACACTCACGATTAGCTCTTAAGTCATTTTAAAAAAGAAAGAGCTGCTTTATTAATGCTTTTTAAATCGAAAAGAAGCGATAGCTTAAGATTTTACTTATCTTGGCTAAGTCCGAAAGAAAGTTATGCTACTTTAAAAAATTAAAACGGTGCTTTACGAAGCTTAATAAAAGAAAACGTTTATTATATCGAAAGCTTTATAAAAAATAGTTATCTTTATATTAAAAGAACGATTAAAGTAAAAGGTCTTCGAACTATGCTAAGGCTTTTATCGAAACAAATAGTTTATTATAATAAAAAAAGAAAAAGGAAAATATAAATTGATTATTATTATAATTAAGATAAACCGTATAACGGTTAAAGAAGTTAATATTGCTTCGAACGTAGATTAATTCTCGAACGAATTTATCGGTTTTACGATAGCTATACTCTTAGACTTTTTTTTTAAATACGATTAATTCTTTTTCGACGTTAAGTTTAAAAATATAATAGCTATTTAAACGCTTATCGGATTGCTTCGAATAATTCGGATATTTATAAAAGCAATTAATTCGATTGCTTAATTCGTTAAAGTCATTTATAAGATCTTTATAGATTGCATTTTTAACGTTTGCTTGCTTTATATAAATGACGTAAGAGTTAAAGGATTTCGATCTTTTTATAATTACGAAGAAGTTTTGTTCGGAATATAACGATTCGTTTTAAAACACATTTAAAACATCGATAAAGTGCTCGTGAAGTTTAAAAAAGCTAAGACGACCGTCGGAACGAAGTTTTAATACTATATGCTTAGTTTTAATATTATTAGATTCGTTACGGATAGCGAAAGACGCTACTTTTAAATCGCTAAAATTAAAAAGATATTAAAATAGATTAAGTACGAAGATATATTAAAAGCGCGAGCTTTTATTAAGATCGTAATTTATTATAAAATTTAAATCAAAAACTTTTTTACGATTGCTGTTTTAATTTACGCGATTATAAGAAAAGAGGTCGAATTCGAATAGTTAAAGCTTTAGCAGAAAGCGATAAAGCTGTTTAAAAAAGCTTTGTTTTTTGCTTCCGCTTTTATTAAAATCGATTATAGCAAAGACGAAAGGAAAATTTACTTAACGGTAGACGCTAGTCTTAAAAGATAAAGAGTAGTATTATAACAAAAGGATTTCGATAAAAAGCGATATTTTATTAAGTTCGAAAGTAGTTTTTAAAACTTTGCGAAAAGCAAGTACGACGCGATTAAGCGAGAATGCCGCGGTGCTTTAAAAGCTATAAAAAAGATAAAAAGCGAATTATACGAGGTTTATTTTATCTTAGAAACCGACGCTAAAGTATTAGTTAATTAACTTAACGGATTAGTAAACGACTTGTTTAAAGCTTTCGTTACGAACTAAATTACGTAGATAAAATTAATAGATTTTAAAATCAAGTATATCTTTAAGATTAAAAACATAATAGCGGACGGTCTCTTTAAAAAAAGAAGAAAGCATCTTTTAAATATTAAAGAAAAAAAAAAAGATATTAACGATTAAGTTATTAACGAGTTAAGCATTATTTTAATATTTTCAATTAAACGATTCGTAAACTATAATTTACGAGTTAAAAAGAAAGTTTTAAAGCACGATTACTCGCTCGACTTTAAGCTTATTGCTTAATTTTTTATTACTTTTAAACGCTTTCTTTCGATTAAAACTTACGACTTTTAAAAGTTTAAAAACAAAGCACTTAATTATTTAATTAAAAATGATTACTTTTATAAACGAGCAAACAATTCTTATTCGATTAAGCTAGTTATCGACGGAACTTAAAAACGCTATACTATTATTTCCGACTCTTATCGAGAATCCGGATATAAAAGAGCTGAATCAATTTACTATCGCACGTTAAAACTTTTTTTTTAAAATAAATGCTACGAAGATTATAAAGCTTTCGTTTAAAACTATAAGCTTTATTAAAAACGCAAAGCTAAACGAATAAAAAACCTTTTGTATTCGACTTAACTTACTTAAATGTAGTTAAAAGTTAGCTTAAACGTATTACGAGTATTTATTATTAATAAAAGGATGACTTGCTTCGTATTAGCTAAAGAAGATCTATTTAAATAATTAAAAAGACGATCACTTCGATCGATTAACGCCGAATCTATTATTAAGTTTTTTTAAAAAGATATCGTTTGCCGCTACGGATTATTCGAAAGACTGATTATCGATAAAAGATTCGAAAATAAAGCAGTTGCTAAAGCTTTTATTATTAAATACGAGATTAAAAAAGTTTAGATCTCGAGCTATAATTTAAAAGCAAATAGAATGATCGAAAAAAAATATAAAGATATTTTAAATAGCTTATTAAAAGTTATAAATAAAAGATTTAAAGATTAAGTTCGTAAATTTAATAAAATGCTTTTTGCGGTCCGGACATCGATATACGCACTTATTAAAGTTACTTTTTTCTTTTTGAACTACGGACGAAAAGTTAAGCTACTTTTAAAATCACGATAACTAGTTTAAAAGTTATTATTATAATAAGAAGTTCGATCTCGCGCTAATTTGCTTGCTATAAAGTTTAAATAATTAAAACTTCGAGACGAAGATATCGACGAGATCATCTTAAAAAAGAAACGCTATCGACTTGCTATTAAAGCTATTTAAGAACGAATTAAAGTCTTAAAATCGGAACTTATTAAAAAGAAAGACTTAATACTATTTTACGACGTTAAACGCAGTATCGATATGTCCGCAAATACTAAACTAGATTATAAATAGCTAAGACTTTATATCGTTTTTAAAGCTTACGATAAAAAATATTATAAATTTTAAGAAACCGATAAGATTAAGCTTAAAAGCACTTTTGCAACTAACTGCTTTAAACGATTTTATTATTGCGATTAAACTTTCTTTCTTTTTAATAAAGACGACGAAGAAAAAGAAAAAAAAGATTCAGATTCTTTAGACAATTTAAACTTTAACGAATACGAGCTTTTCGACGACGGCAAAAGTGAACTACTTAACTTAAAAGTGACTTTTAAACTTAAGTTTATCAACTTTTAAATTATTCTTTTAACACTTTCGAAAAAATAAAAACTAGCTTATAAAATTATTTTTTAATTTGTTTTCTTTTATTTTGTTTTTTTTATTTTCGTATTTTCTTTTTATTTTTTATTTATTTTATAAAAAGACGTGCTTTTAATGATCATTTTCTTTATTTTAATAAAGAAAAGTATTTCTTACGTTTGTTCTTTTACTTTTAAACTTGCTTTTTATTATATTCTCGGTTTTTTCTTTGTTCTTTTCACTTTATTAGCTATTCACTTGTCTTATACAGATTGTTTTTATTATTTGATTGTTTTTTATTTATTTAAGCTTATACGGTTATTTTCTATTTCTTATTTAAGATTATTCTTTTGTTTTAAGCGTGTTTAACTACGTGTATTCGAAAGT